GCATACCCGCTTTGTAACCGACTCTGTTCAGACAAGTGGTTGACAGCGTCATAAAGGAGGGAATGTTCGTTTCGAAAATTTATGGAAGCCGAATTGACGAATGGCGCGTTTCCAAGTCGCGCGCGAATTTTTATTCGGATCAAACTAGTCCACCATTCGAATTTTTCCAATGAGGAGAGCAAGTGAATGCACTTTGCCAATCATTGCTAATTTTACAATTTGAAATTTCATAATTGACAATTCTTTGAAAATCAAGTTTTAAGACGTTTACCATTATTTACAGAATGTACATCATGAACTAAACTTTTGTAATTTTAGCATTGAAACTACATTTACAATTCCAACATGATTCGGATAAATTAAACGATCGTTTATTTAAAAATCTCTTAGATGTATCAGGAAAAATTATACATATATATTCCTTTTGTATCATATGAGATAAAAAGTATATGTTGAAATCGATGGATGGAACGAGCCGGATCGATCGTTTATTTGCTTTTGCGATTTTTAATCTCGAGATGTTAGAGAAAGATTGGGGGTAAAACGGTCGGTAAGTGTTTCCGAGTTCGTCCAGGGGGATACAGTTTCAAACTGTTCGCCACTTTCGGCGAGTTGCAGAGCAAACTTTCGGAGAATGAACTTTAATGCAGTATACGGAACTTTTTCGATGGAAAAAGGGGGGCGTTGATTTCACCGCTGCCTCGAACAATTACCGAAACTTGTTTATTATTTCAACGCGTGGAATCGTTGCGATCATTTAGAGAATCGAACGATGCGAAATTTTGTCGAAGATGGAATATCCTTTTGCACAAATATTCCTTTGATTTCGAGTGTTTGCTCGAATATTAAATTTATACCAATCTTGATTGTTTTCGATCCCTTTGTAGTTTTGATTAGGATATTTTATTTATATTTTTGTTTATCGCGTACGTGGAACGAATAGTTTTTTATCACGTTACATTTGAATTAATAAATTCAATCAAAAGATTGTTCGTCTCGATGATCAATCGAGAGAATATTTTATTCTGTGATAAAAATAAAAGAATAAAATTCATTATTTTCACATACGTCGCTCTTGTATTTTATCAAATGTGTAAACAAGTGCGTGTTATTAAATATTGTTCAAATAAATTTGTGCGTTACATTCTTAATAAGATAAAAGGAGTGTTGATTCTAGAAGCAATAAACTTTTCGATCGTAAATATTGATAAAATTTTTACAAATCATTTCGGAATCATTTGGAAACCAACAATTCATCGTCTAATTCCTTGCGTTTACGTATTTTTAGTAAAGAAAAAAAAAAAAAAAAAGAAAAAACTGACACAAGTAGCTCACATGATGGGAATATTGAAGTAACATAATTTCCAAGTGTTACTTATTTTACCACTTTTTTTGCAAATTGTCTTTACCGCTGCGAACAACGGTAGAAAATCGTGAAAAAGGGCGAAACACAAGAGTAATTGGCTTGTTATCACTTTGGCAGACGTTCTAATCGCAACGATTCGTTTTCTACGGATTTCGACGGTAATTAGAGCGTACTGTCGAGAACTGGCGAGTACATAATCGAATTTTGTTGCTCTTAATTGCGACACGATTACACGCGCGGCCGACCCGCGTAAATATTGAATTTAGCCGTGCGCTCGTCTAATCCTATTCGATTTCTTCGATTCGAGTAATATCTTAATACCGAACATAAAATTATCAATTAAACTTGTACGAATGTATGAATGAAATGTTAAGTATAGCTACAACAGTCAAAATTTTAGTAAAGAAATTTTTTTTCTTTTATTTCGTTTAATAATATTGGAACAAATTGAAAAATACTAGATTTACCGATCGATTTTCACTTTTTCCATCGGATATCAATACTTTTCTTTTTAATAATTATATACGGTTATATTTGTTTGTTGTTTTAAAGGATTATTTAATGAAAGAAGTATTGAAAAAGCAGTATTGATCGATATTGTAAGCTGGATCGATACTGGACAATTCTCGGTTAAAGATACGGATTCTTGTTTTAACCCTCAGACAACCGGCTAAATTATGGCGACACGAATGGTCGACTGTGAGTTATACGAAGAGGACTGGAAAGGCCTGATACAGCTTTATATTTCCCACCTAATAGAGAATCGTAATCCAAGTTATGATACATAAATTATGATTGTTTCAAAAATTTTATATAAAGTATCAATTATTTTACACGAATGGAACGTTTGATATTATGCATATGGTCTATTTTGGTGCTTTTCAGTTTGAAGTTTACCGTTTTGTTAGAATTATTGTTTTAAAATTTTATCTTTTAAGAGATTGAAGGAAGGCTTTATCATATTCTTTTAAAATAATCTGATCTATAATAATAAAATTATGATGAAAATTTATATCTGGTGGATAAAAAGGAAGACACTTTACAAAATTTTCGTATACTTTTAATTTAATTTTTCTTCAAGTGTATAATAATGCCAAATTTAAATATTCAAAGAAATGTTAGAAATGTATTTTAAAAATAGTTTTTCCAGCAAAATTGTGTATTAAAAATATTTGCACAAAATGAATTGGAAAATATAATTAATTGAAACTAAAATGATCAAAGATTAATTATCCAAAATTCAAATTAATAAAATTCTAAATAAAAAGTCTAATAGCATTTTCATCTTTCATCACAATCAAATATGTGATTACATTCTATACAAGTATATACGAAAATTAATTATATATCATTAAAAGTTATTAAAGAGAAAAGAAAAGAAGAAAAAAAAAATGATAGAACAGCGAGAAAAAAATTTTCAATATGTGTTTCATTGTATTTAAACTATCAGAACAATCAAAGTCGTAAATCATCCCTTTTGTTGGAAGAGAATATCGATCCTTTAAAAGAGCATGTAGTTTTCGTTCCTTTATACAGCTGTGCCTTCATATCTATCTCGCAAAAGTTTTTTGAAAGAAATTGTTTTGAGAGAAACGCGTCTTTTTAATGACGCTCCATTCTTCACGATTTCTCGCATTCGATATCCTGAAAATAATACGATTTCGATTTTTGTGTTCGATATTGAATTGCACGCAAAGGACAATCACGAAGATTGATCTTTCTTTGATCGAGAAAAATAAGTAAGCGTGTGATGAAATTTTTAAGATAAAATCTTTAATGTATACATAAAAGTTTGCGATATTTTCCTTTTGTCACGTTAGATTTATAAAATTTCTTATTAACATGATACATTATTTATCAAATTTAAATTCTTTTAATGCCTTAAATTCTTTGGATATTTTTCACATAGTTAATAAGGAAAATTGAATTATTTATATACTTCATTGACTTTAATACTTAAAATTATTAAACTAATCGAATCAATCGTTAAATTCCTCCTGCGTAATTTATTTACCCAAATACCACGATTTTATTCACTCGTTTCAGCTGTGCTATTTCGAAACTTCAATGCATTAATCGCAAATCTTGGCCATTGAAACTTTGGTGGTCGTAGAAGATAGAGGACATAAAATGGCTCTTCCAAAACAATTGTCGTCTCTCTCATTAAAGATATCAACTGACATTGAGGAGAAAATTGAATTGTTTCATAGACGAATGAGGTAAGGATCTTTTCGCAAACAATCAAATATTTTTTTCATATTTTTCAGACAGATTTAGAAATCTTCAAGCAATAAAATTTGTATTCAAAGAATTCATTATAACATTATATCATGATCCTATTATAATCATTCCAGAACAAGAACACAGATCCAACGAGATTGAGAAAATAAATTAACAAATAACAAGTATACAATCGTTAGCAATTAATACATCGATATTCCATAAATTCCTTCGAAAGCTTCTTTAAAAAAATAAAATTTACATTAAAAAAAATAGTAAATTTAACTTAAAATATATCATTATAGATTGTAAATCGATAAATTGACAATAATTGTTATTATGATTTTACTTCACATAATTCGAAAAGAGTTCAAACTTTAATTTTTGAAATCAAATATCTAACACGCTCGAAATGTCTAATTGAATTACAAACGAAATAGAAACGAAGGTGATCCCATATCAATGCACATTTCCACATTAAATCCCTTAAAATCCGTTATTTGGTACCAAAGAATTCGGGGTCAGAGATCGGTCAAACGATTGAAATGGCCGACCAGACCGGTTGATGGACAGTCGCAACTTGGGATTAATTTAATTATGGATTAACCCTATTCCATTCCTATGCAACCAGCCTTTTATCCCGTGGAAAGCTTTCTATCCGACCTTCTCCCATTGAACGTCGTTCAGAATGCTTTGTTCTTCTTCGTCGTACGATGTTCCTTTGACAGACGCGGAGAAACGAAATTATAATTCAAAGATCGGGGGACAAAAGCGAATAAATGAACCACGCTCGAACGTGAAAACATGATTTCTCTCGTGGAACACGATATGGATTCGAAATATTTTCGAATGCATGAAACATTTGAAACATGTCGGTGCATTATATACAAGGACGTTAAAAATCCTCGAATTCGAATGTACGATCAACTTTCTGAGCCATCGACGAAAAGAGATTTCTTTTTTTCAGACGCAAAAGTTATACCATCTTACAAATTATTTTACCTTCGTAAAAATTTATATTTAAACCAATTTTTGAAAAATCTCCTTAAATACGCGAATTCAATCAATACCTTCATACCTTTGTCTATTTTGCATATAATTTTGAAACAAAACTATCCACATTCGCGTTATTCGTGAATAAAATATCAATTTTAAATGGCACAGAATTTTTTTCTTGCATAAAATTTACGATCGTTACGAATATTTCTCTCTTCACTTTCAACAAAAAAAAAAAAAAAAAATAGAAGAAATCATCAATAAATGACAGAAACGATTTAGCCAAACAGTGGAGGCCGATTTCACCACGAGTGAACAAATTGACAATACGCTCGAGCAGGAAAAGTACACAGACTGAATTCCCAAGGAAGCGAAAAGTCGCAACCAAAGTTGACTTCCTGGACGTTTGCTCGAAAATGTAAAACTCGTTTCCTCCGACATTTTCTCGCCTCGAGGCAAGAATTCGTCCGTTAGTTATCGCGAGTTTTGCGCGTATCGAAACGAAACACTGGCACGATATGCACGATCCCGTCTTTTCAACGTGAGTGCAATACGAGTTTAATCGCGATACCAGGGCCACGTTTATCTACGTCAACGGTCCATTAAACCCGACTAAGCGCGGATAATGTCGTTTCATAACAGATCAGCCCCGAATTGGGTCTGTCAGCGATTTTTACGAAATCCCTTCTTCTTGCGACCCGAATACCTTCCTTTCGATTTGATAAATTATCGATGAAAATTTTCGAAATCGAATTTTTTAAAAAATCAACGAACTTGTTTCGCGTTTTATCCCGATTCATCTCGATCGTATTCCAGAAATCGCGTCAGTTATTTGTTTGGAATTTGGGATTGAGCGAGACAAAAGAGAGAAGGAGACGAAGATAGATAGAAAAGTTGTTAAAAATTATTGTTTCCTTTACGCGACGATATCTCGGCAACCGGAAGTCGTATCGAGATGAATGAAAAAGAGTTTTAAAGGGTAAACTTCCGCGCTTCTGCGATCCTATATTTATTAACCGGAAATTACTATCTTCGGAGTTGAGGCGGTTTAAACTTTTCCTAATTTTAATATAGTTTAATCGAGTTTTAAAGTACATTACGTGATAGGTGTGTTTATTTCTGGAAAAAAATATTACTAATAGTATATTGAAAACTCTAAATCGATTTCAAAGCTACTTCAAGTCCGTTGTTTAAAGTAAATTGGATTTTTATAGGGAGGAAAGTATATCACGCGAATATTAAACAATTTTTATGTAAATTATTTTTCGCTTTTACAAACTGAATAAACCAGAAATAACGAGTAATGAAAAACCTACAAACGCTAGAGAAGACTATTAAAAATTTCAAAGGGAGAAGGATATAAAAATAAAATTCGTTCCTTAACTCTTTGCCACTAAATGCCTTAACAAAACAATCCATCACGCCCTATTCGTCGTAATTTATCCGAGTTGAAAAAATTGTCTTATTTCACGCAGTTCGAAGACGAGAAGCCACGAAGGGACGGATGAATCTTCCAATCGTTCTGGATCTGCTTTAAAATTCAAATTCACAACTTCTGCTTAAACGTCTCTTAGATAACCGCAGAGATCGTCTTCTCTGAAATTCTCCTCCCCCAAGGATGGATCTCGAGTTTCCATGCAGGCAGAGTTCGAGGAGGAACAGCTATCCGCGAGTTTTTGCTCGAATCTCGACGTACGATAAACAAGCGAATCGAATGCGTTAAGGGATTGCGAGGCAATTTCGAAATTGCGTTACAAGGCCGAGATTCCGCCTTATTGGCGGACTCAAGATCCAACGCTGGGCCAACGAGGAGCATCGATTACAGGCAAGAAATTGAGCGTATGGATGGAGAAGGTTGGAGGGTAATTCGTGCGCTCGAGTGTGAAAACGATCACCCAGAACACCGACCTTGACTCAAATTAACTTAATTAATCTCACCTTTTAAATTTCATCCCTTTTGAATCCCTCGAAACATTTCCTTGTGTAAACAAAACACGATTTTATTTTTTCATTTTATTTTGCCTCTTAGATTCTGATCCACGTATGAAGCAACAAATCAAACGATTGGCCAACGACACAACAAGTAGCCTATAAAATATATCGTCGAACGAATGCATCCCTCCCCCCGAAATATGGACAAAGGATTCCTGTGCATATCGATGAAAACCCATAACCCTTATCGATGAATTATCAGAAGCTACGTGGGAGGAGCGATTCAACAGGCAGCCCTGTTGCGGAAACGAAGGAGGGAAGGAAAGGACGAGGAGAGAGAAAATTAATCCAATCGAAGGGGGAGGGCGTGGAAAATCAATTCCTATGATAAATCTTCCATCGAATCGTAAATAACGGCGTGGATAGCAACGCGACAAAGAAATATGACGGCTAACCGTGGTGCTTATTTATCGAGAGAGATCTCGAATTGAATGGGCTTCCTTGCTCTATATCCGTCGCGCCACCTGGGAATTCATCGCCTCCTTTTTTACATTTCCCGCCCCTCCCCTCCCCTTGTTCATCCATCTCGAGCCGGAACCGGTCGGAATCGGATCCGTTTCCACGAGTTCGCTCGTAAACTTTTTACTGCCAGGCATAATACAGGCGGAACAATCTGGAGAGTGGGAGAGGCATCCTCCTTTTATATCTCGCTCGTTTGTTCCCTTTTCTCCTAACCAACGACGACGAGGACGGCCACGTCTTTATCCGAAATTTCGAATCACATCGAGGCGTGCATACGATGTGGAGAACGGTTGGAGTATCGATTTCGGGGAAAGGTCCAGGGTGCGTGGTGGAGGGGCCACGGACGAGGTGAAGCCAGCGATAGCGTTATTTATGATTCCGTGGCGGCGCTGTATTTATCACTTTTCAACGGTTCCATCGATCCTTCGATTTTTCGTCTCAACCGCGATTCCATTCACGCCCGGATTCGCCCACTCCATCTTGTGTTTCTGACGTTCTGGTTTCAAGGCAGAGGGTGTTTCGAATGTTGGTGGAATAGAGCGAGAATTTCGAAGAAATTTTACTGGTGAGCAGCAGCTTGGGGAAAATTTGGACGGAATCTTAGGTTCGGGACGCGTGGAAATACTTGTCGAAGATTTTATTATCGGTATATCTTTGCTTTTTATTAAGCTGTAATCTTTCTAGAAATCTTTCTTTATTTGTTAGTATATCTAGAATTTGAATTCTATAAATTTTTAAAAGAAGTGTAGGATGCGACACTTTTTAAGTAATTTAGGTAATTAAGGAATTGCTTATGCTTATTAAATAAGGAACATGCTAGTAGCGATAACGTATATATATAATTAGTAAATGTTTAATCTTCAGTTGTACACGTAATATTTAATACAAAATATAACGATATAAAATGTAATAAAATATTTGTGTGTTTCATACAAATCATCGTTTCATATGATTAAACAAAAATTTAGTGAAAATCAAATTTATGAATCCCATATTTAACGTTTAATATCTTATGGCATGGTGTACTATTGTATTATAGCAGGAAAGAAGAAGAGAAATATGAAAATTCAATAAAACTGCATTTATCTGAATTTATCGTAAGAGACTTTTAGTTGCAGCTCAAGATCAACTGAATTGAATTCTCTCAATTGAATTCCCTAAACGTGAATTTCTATTATTTAAACGAGAATTGTAAGTAATATGGAGAATGTAAGTGAAGTTTTATTGCATGAACTCCAATTACATGAACTGTTTGTTCCCAGACAGATTCAAATAAACGAAGTTCTATGATATTCCGGAATTACAAGAGTTTGTACCACGACGTAACTAAAGTTTGAATATGGTCCCCTTAAAACCGATAAAGAGGAGCGATAAAACATGGGATGAAAGTCTTTGTGAATGATATAGAATTGCTAGGATACAAACGATAATTCGATTAAATATCCTGAACAGATACTGCACAATACTCGAAAAATATTCGAGATAAAAGATATGTATGCAATAGCAAAATTAAATAAAATTCAGGCCAAAGATTGATAATAAAATTGAGTTAAAATATTTACAATTCATCTGTCATTGAACTTATCAAAATTTCACGTATATTTCTGAAGCAAACAAGAACTCGATTTATCAACTCGAAGCAAACATATGGAAATATAAGTTGCGAGTTCGATTTGTTATTGTTATTATTACAAACACAATAATGTATAAAAGAAAAATATACTTTGTGAATTTTCATAAAGAAATCTTAACCAAAAATTCATATAATATTTTCTTATTTTAGTTTCAACGCGACGATCAATTTTAGAATATACCAACGAAAATTGTACCCAAATAAATGCTAATTCCTGATACATTGACCTATTTTCAATCATCAATAAGAAACGAGAATACATAAATTGAGAAATTTATTAATGTCTAAACTAAACTAGGGAATATAAAAGAATAAAACGCGAACAAAACTATTTATTTCAATTAAAAATGAAGACGAACAAAATCTTCTCTAATCAGAATATAGAAAATGTACGTTTCACAACGTTTAAGCCGTTTAATATAATATATCGACGTTCGAATAATCGTGTTCCGCGATGTTTCGAATAATAGTAGGAAGAAGTGTTTTAGGATGCTCGTTACCTTAATGAGTGTCGAGCTCTGAACAAGTAACGCTAATCGGTAACGGAGTTTCTCGTTATCGTTCGTTTTCCAGCTGGGAACTAGATCGTTATGGCGGCTAACTAATTTAACTCGTTCACTAGGTCACTTGTTCGCAAGGAAAACCGAAGGGAAGGGAGCAGCGGGCGCATGGATTTTTTCCCACGATTTTTCCTTTTGTTTCCGCTTTTTTAAAAGTCCGCTTTCTATCGATACAAAACGGAACAGCGAGTGTAATTGAAAGCTTAAAAGCGGTACGAAATTAAACGGTGCAACTAAATGTGAATTTATTGTGTTCGAATTTTTACTCCCGATAGACGGGAGGACTTGTACACTTGTAATCCAAGGTTCAAAGCAATTTGATCATTTTCCGCTTTGTATCGCGATTTAAAATTATATTTAATTTAACACAAAGGGTTATTCTCGTTTGCAAAAATTCTAAAAATTGTTAAATTTGCATGATTTGATGTTCCAGAAAGAGAGAATAATGGAGTGTTGAAAATGTAAAATGAAAATTTTTATTTTAAAAAAAGTCTTTAATGTGGATAAGTAGCCTTTTTTCTTTTTTCTTTTTTTTTATGGTAGGAAAAATTCGTATTATGTTTTAAATTTTTATCCGTTTTTACTAGAGATGATGTGTTCTTTCTATTCGAAATTTTGTAAAAAATTACAAAGGATATGTGTGTGAACGATTTATTATTTTATCTTTTTATCCTAGTTTATCTTAATCATTCTTGCAAAAATTAATTCCTTTATATTATACGATTAACGTATATTTTCGATATTTGGTAGATTACTAACACTCATCTAACAATACTT